TATATCAGGTTTTGCTTTCTTTCTTTCTTTCTTTCTTTCTTTCTTTCTTTCTTTCTTTCAAAAAATAGATATATTTATTATTTTTGGTGTTATTTTTCTTTCTTTACTTATTTAGGTTTTTTGAGACAGGGTCTCCCTGTAGCCCCAGCTGGCCTGAAACTCACTATATAAACCTGGCTGGCCTCAAACTCACAGAGATCTGCCTGCCTTTGTCTCCTGAGTGCTGGGATTAAAGGTATGTACCACCACAACCAGCTCAAAAATATGTGTTTATTGTATGTATGTGTATATACACATGCCACAGCATACATGTGGAGGTCAGAGGACAACTTGCAGAAATGGGTTCTCCCCTTCTACCATGTAGGTCCTGGAGAATCAAACTCAGGTCTGCAGGCTTGGCAACAAGCACCTTTATCCACTGGGCCATTTCATTGGCCCATGAGGATTTTTTTCATTAATAATTAAATGGAATCATGAAAGCACCTGAGCACCACAGGCCTCCCAGTTGTTCTAGAAAGATGCGGAACACGAGCACGACCCAGGGTTTGGATCCAGGAAAAAAAATCAGAATTCATTTTTCACACCTCAAGGTGATGACTTAGCCAAAGGCTAACTTTTTTTTGCTCATATTGTTTCTATTTTTATTTTTTTGGCAACGTTGGGAATGGAACCCAGAGTACTATATACGTTAAGCAAGCACTCTACCACTGAGCCACACCCCAGCCCCTCACTGGGGGATTCTAGGCAAATGCTCTACCACTGAGCCACACCCCCAGCCCCTCACTGGGGGATTCTAGGCAAATGCTCTACCACTGAGCCACACCCCCAGCCCCTCACTGGGGGATTCTAGGCAGGTGCTCTACCACTGAGCCACACCTTTAGCCCTTCACTGGGGGATTCTAGGCAGGTGTTCTGCCACTGAGCCACACCACACAGCCTCTCACTGGGGGATTCTAGGCAGGTGCTCTACCACTGAGTCATGCCCCAGCCCCTCATTGGGGGATTCTAGGCATGTGGTCTCCTACTGAACCACACTCCCAGCTGCTGATTGGAAGCATCTAAGCAGGTGCTTTAACATGAGATATACTTACAGTGTTCTTTTTACTCTTTAAAAAATATTTTAGTATATATTTTTTATTTGATGTGTATGAGTGTATTGCCTGCATGTATGTGAGTGCACCCATGTCGTGCAATTCCTGCAGAAGTCAGAAGAGGACATTGGATCCCCTGGATCTGGAATTATGGATAATTGTTATCTGTCATGTGGGTGCTCGAAATTGAACCCGGGTCCTCTGCAAAAGCAGCCAGTGTTCTTAACTGCTGAGTGATCTCTCTAGAACCTCTTTTACATTTTAAGATAGGATCTAAGTTGTACAGGCAGGCCTTGAACTCTTTCTGTAGCCCAGGTTGACCTTGAACTTAGATTCCTCCTGCCTCAATTTCCCTATAGTTGGGATTATTAATAACTAAGGCCAGTTTTTGGTTATTTTTGAAATGGGTGTTATGGAGCCTAAGCTAGCGTGGAACTTTTGATCCTTTTGCCTCAGCCTCCCAAGCAGGTGGAAATACAGGCCTGGGCCTCCAGGTCTGCTTCTCTCTTTGTTTGAAATAAAGATGTATTTATTTTTATTTTCTTATTTTATATGTATGTGTGTGTACCTGCATGTATGTAAATGCACCACATGTGTGCAGTGCCCACAGAAGCCAGAAGAGGATGTTGGATCCCCTGAAGTGGAGTTATAGGTGTCTGTGAGCTGCTATGTGGGTGCTGGGAACCAAACGTAGGTCCCTTGTGCAAGAATGGCCTGTACTCTTAATCGCTAGGCTATTTTTCCAAGCCCCTGTTTGGTTTTCGAAGGTTGACCTTTAAATTTTTTAAATTTTCTTATTTATTTTTATTGAGTGTGTGTGTGTGTGTGTGTGTGTGTGTGTGTGTGTGTGTGTAATTGCATGCATGCCACAGTGAGTGTGAGGTCTGAGGTGACAGGACAACTTTCAAATGTCAGATCTCTCCTACCTTTATCATCCCCCACCCCCCATTCCTCAGGCTTTGAATTAGGCAATTTTATCTACTGATCCATCTCACCAGCTCCCTTTGTTTATTTTGTGAGACTTGGTCTTCACTGTGTAACCCAGGTTAGCCCACATTGATGATCCACCTATTTCTCTCAGCATCCCAAGGACTAAGTGTGAACCACCACATCAGGCTCACAAATTTCTAGCTTTTCTTTTCTGCCATCTTACAAGGGAGGATTACCCCAGGGCATGGAGGAATGAGGATGGATGTAAGGCAACCGTGAAGCTGTGATCCTCTGTCTACAGTCCTGCTCAATTCTATTCCCAATGCAATCAGCAGACACAGCTGTGGATAACAACTATGCCAAGGCCTGGCTCCAAGGGAAAGCAACTATCTGTAGGAACAGTCAGTCCTCGACCAATTCCTGCTAGGACTGGTACAGTGGACACCTGATTCTAATCTTCATTTCCTCTTCTGAAGCAGAGATGATCATGACATCCATCAGCTTAAATATTACAGTGCATATCTGTAGCTTCCCTCCCTAATCCAATATTTCAACCTGGTATCTTCAGGATCCTGCTTGGTCTACCCCATCAGCCTCTTCTCCTCCAGAGACCTGGGCTTCAGCAACTCTGAGCACCTCCCCAGGTTCACCAAGTGTCCTTCTACAGTCTTGCCTCTACCTAAACACGTTTCTACAACAGCTGCCTCTGCCTAAACACATCTTTCCTGCTTCCCATGAAGTGAATCAATGCGCATTGGCCCCTCAGATGCATTCAATGGAAGGATCTGTCTCTTGATATTTGTGCCAAAGCATATTAAACTAAAAGTCATCACAAGGTCTTGAGTTTCACTCCCTAGTATTAGAAAAATAAAATAAAACAAAACAAAAAGTCTGTCTGGGTGTGGTGGCGCACACCTTTAATCTCAGCACTCAAGAGGCAGAAGAAAGCAGATCTCTGTGAGCTCAAGGCCAGACTCATCTACATAGCTAGTCCCTAGGCAACCAAGGCTACATAATGAGACCCTGTCTCAAAAAACAAAGCAAAAGAAACAAACATACCCACCCCCAAAACCAGCACTCAGGAGGCAGAGGCAGGCAGATCTTGCAGAGATCAAGGCCAGCCTGATCTATATAGCCAGTTCCAGCCAACTGGGGCTACAAGGAGACCCTGTCACAAAACAAAAAAACAAAACAAAATACAACTGTAGTTTTTCCAGGGCAAGACTCCTCCATTGTTGTCTGGATGTGCTGACCCCTGCCATTTCCCTAAATGTGGAAATGTTGACTGCATAATTTGGTAGTGGGGGACTACACTTACGTTTTCTCCTGTTTAAAACAAACAAAAAACAAAAGCAAAAACTAGCAATAAAATAAAAAATATAAAATAAAAGTAAAATAGATAAATGAATTTAACTTAATATGTATTTGACTTTTTTTTTTTTTTTGGTTTTTTTTTTGAGACAGGGTCTCCCTGCAGCCCCAGCTGGCCTGGAACTCATAATGTAGACCAGGCTGGCCTTGAACTCACAGAGATGAGCCTGCCTCCACCTCCCAAGTGCTGGGACTACATGCGTGCACCACCACGCCCAGCTATGTATTTGGCTTTTAAGGGTGATCATAATTGAGGATTTTGGCCCACAGAGACAGATTTTTGCTTTTTTGTTCTTTAAAAAAAATTTTTATGGGACTGGAGAGATGGTTCAGCAGTTAAGAGCACTGGCTGCTCCTGCAGAGGACCTGGGTTTGATTTCCCAGTACCCACATGGTGACTAACAGCCATCTGTAACTCCAGTTCCAAGGGAATCCAATGCCCTCTTCTGACCTTGTCGGGCATGCATGACATGGGTGCACTTACATACATGCAGACAATATACTCATACACATAAAATATAAAAAATTTTAAAAATTTACTTTATGTGTATGAGTGTTTTGCCTGCATATGTATAAGTGCACCCATGTCATGTAATACCCATGGAGATAAGAAGAAGGTATCAGATCCCCTGGAACTGAACTAGAGTTGCAGATGGTAATTAGCCACTGTGTAGGTACTGGGAACCTAACCTGAATTTTCTGCAAGAGCAACCAGTGCGCCTAACTGCTGAACCATCTTTCCAACCCCAGGGACAGATTTTTGAATTGATTCCCCAAAATTGAGCAGAGGCCCATACATCTTCCTTGATTCCTAATTACTGCCCCCTTGTTCTTCACTTGGCAAGAACCCCCAGTTGTTTCTGATCTAATGCCTGTACCTTCTAATCAAGGTATCACACCTGGGTTCTTCACAGCCCGTGACAGTTCTTAACTCCTTTGGTAGGCCATAAACTTCCTACACACAGGAGCTTTATCAAAGCACTGGACAGATGGGGCGGGGATGGGGAAAAGTGAGAAATTAGAACAGACCAGGCTTTAATTGAATACAGAGTCAGGCCTAGTGGCCCAAGCCTGTCACCATAGCTACTTGGGAGACTGAGGTAGGAGGAGTGAAAAGTTCAGGCCTGCCTGGCCACAGAGTGAGTTCAAGGTCAGCCTAGGCAATGTAGTGAGAGCTCCTGTGTCAAAATAAAAAAAGAGGGCTACGGATATATAGTCCAGTGGTAGAGCATTTGCCTAGAACCCCCCAGTGAGACAGGGGGTGGGGGGTGGCTCAAACCTTAGAGCATTTGCTTAGCATATGCGAAGCCCTGGGTTCATTCTCCAATACCACAGGGAAAAGAATTAAGACTTGAATAGGAATCATCTGGGGTATCCTTAAGCTGCAAACCAGATTCATATTGTTGGTCTAGGTGAACATGGCAACCACAGATCTAACAAGGTCCCTGGTATTACCGATGTGCTGCACCGGAAACCACTTTACACAGCAAAAACCTATCTGGCTCAGGGAGCGAGGAAGAGGAAACACAGGTGGGAGGGCAATTATCCATGGATATAAGATGGGTGGTATCTGCCTACTACTCCGTAGGCTATTACCCAGACAGAACCATGGGGGTGAGCTACCAGCTCTTTCTCTATTTTCTGCTGTGGGGAGGTCCAGAGCTATGCTACCCTGAGCCTTTGTGGCTCTCGCAGAGTGGAACCCCAAAACCCCTGAGGTCCTCGTTGCCAGTAGAGGTGAAGTGTCTGGAAGCTAAGCTGGTGGTGGCTGTCAGCAGAGACCTTTTTGGCACTGGGAAGCTTGTGCAGCCTACAGACCTTACCCTTGGCCCTAAAGGCTGTCGGCCCCTGATCTCCAAGACTATGGACACAATCATGTTTGAGGCTGCCTTGCATGAGTGTGGCAGTAGCTTGCAGGTGAGGCTATGGTCCCTCGGTGTGGATGAAGGGATGGATGCAAGAGGTGATTTGGTACTGGAGCTGGTGCAGGATGGGGCAGCCTTCTTCCTCACTGTAAATAGGGACCACTGGGAAAACTCCAGCCTCTGAAAGCCAGTAAATCAGAATTGGAAGTTGGCAGTCAGTTTGCACTATGTGAAATTGTCTCAAGAAAAAGAGAACAAACCTCAAAACAAACCCTGAGCCAGGCGTGGTGGTATATGTACTTGTAAGGTTTTGTCATGGTGTGCCTAGGTGCTGGGATTACATGTATGTGCTGTCACACCTAATTTGGCATGGAAGCTTTGAAGTGAAGGAGGTATAGGGCAGAGGTCATCCATGTACTCTTTATGTTAAAGACCTTAAAGCATTCAACTACACTGGGAATGTGGTTCTGTTGGTATAGAATTCTTGCCTACCATGCATGAGGCCCCAGGTTCAATCCCCAGCACCACATAAACAGGATGTGGTGGTGCACACTTGTAACCCCAATACTGGGCAGGTAGTGCTATGAAGGATCAGGAGTTAAAGGCCAGCCTGGGCTACCCCAGATCCTGTCCCAGACCTACCACCTAACCGGCAGTTGATTGGTTTAAGTAGAAGAGACATAATGTGGGGGCAGGTGTGCAGGTAAAGACCTTGGATAACTCAGGCTGGACCCTTGCCTTCAAATGATAAATGGACCACAAGGAGATGAGATGAGCACCAAGTTCTACGGTTCCTCTCTAGGCTCAGTTCCTGTTGCCTGATGAAGGGCCTGGCTTCCCTTCTATCAGAATCCCAGTCTTGGCCCCAGACTTAGCTTGGCTGAGGCAGCAGCAACCTTAGCCTCTAGACTCCTTCAGCTGAAGCTCTGGTCTTAATTATGGTTAACTTGGGGCTCATCTTAAGGCCACGGGGTCCTTATTTCCCTATACGGGGAGGATGGAGGGTTTGCTATCACCTTCGAGGCTTCTAAAAATTCCTGGTGTCTGCAGGTGTGGTGGAGCATATTTGAAATCCCAGTACCTGGCAGGCAGAGGAGGAAGGCAAGTTTGAGGCCAGCCTGGGCTACATAGCTATATCCTGTCTTAAGACACTTAACAAAGTCCTGGTGTTTAGTACCTTATTCTAAATGGGCACCATTGTGGAACCATTCATGATTTTTTCCAAGTCCCAGGTGACTTCAATCAACACTAGCGGCTCCTGTGTGTGAACCAGGTTTTCCTATTCTTCACCCACTACAGGGGTCACCCTCCTAGGTGGGCATCCTATAGTTCTGTTTTAAGACAATATTTCACTATATAGCCCTGACTGACCTGGAACTCACTTTGTCAACCAGGCTGACTTTGAACTCATTCACCTCCCTCTGCCTCCCAAGTTCTGTGATTGAAGGCATGTAGTATCACACCCAGCATCTATGCTTAAGACTGACTTTCTTATGGTTGTGATGGATTGAGATGGAAATCTCAGGTAGCACAAGCTGGCCTCGAGTTCATCACATAAGAAAGCTTTGAATTCTTCTGCCTCTGCTTCCTGAGTGCTGGGATCACTGGTGTGCCCCACCATATCTGGTTTATACTGCACTGGCGATGGAACCCAGGGTTTTGTGAATGCTAGGCAAGCATTCTATCTAATACAGCATTATGTTCCCCAGTCCTGAAGTGCTAATTTAAGATTTTTATTAATTGTGTGTATGTATGTATGTATATATATATATGTGTGTGTGTGTGTGTGTGTGTGTGCATATGAGTGCAAGTGCCAGAGGAGGCCAGAAGAGGGCGTCAGATCCCTGGAGCTTCAGTTATGGATGGTTGTAAGCTGCCCAATATGACTGTGGTGTCAGGGAGGGAATGAACTCGGGCTCTCTGGAAGAGCAATATGTGTTCTTCACTCCTGAGCCATCTCTCCAGTCCGTAATTTAAACATTTATTGGGCATGGGACACAGGCTATGACTCTTGTGTGAAGATCTGAGGACAACCTATGGGGGTCAGTTCTCATGTGTGTTTCAGAGATCCAACTCAGTGTTGTCAGGCTTGACAGCAAGTACCTTTACCCACTGAGCCATCTCACCAGCCCCTGAGATGCTAATTCATGAAAAAGGGCTCTCAATTATGCTGCTGCTTTCTGTCTGGGGACACTTGCAGATAGAAATCCAAGGTTGTCTTCTGAAGTTCTAGGGCAGGACAAGGGGATCACTTGGGCAGCAGGTGATTGCTCTAGGCTGATCTTGCCCCCCCCCCCCAATGCAGTGCAGCACAAATTGAAGATGTGAAGGCCCTAGCACCTGCCTGTGCTCTTCTGCCTCAGGTCATCACTGCATCTATCAGGGCTTTCTGTCAAGATGAGAGACTGGGATGTGGCTCAGTGGCAAAGCACCGTCCTAGAATCCCCCAGTGAGGAGTTGTGGGCATGGCTCAGTGATATAGCACCTGCCTAGAATCTCCCAGTGAGGGGCTGTAGGTGTGGCTCAGTAGTAGAGCACCCATCTGAATTCCATTTTCAGTAGCAAAGAAACAATAAATATGAGAAATGTTAACTGTTGGGCAGAAAACTAAAGTTCCTGGCCTTTTTGCCTACTTTCTGAGGGATGACTCAGTAAAAAGAAACTGTATTGGTAGCAGGTGTGGAGGTAAGGGCATACCCTGATGCCCCTAGGTGTTAACTTGCTGTCTGCTCCATCATTGATCCAGAACCCTGTGGGAAGTCAGATTGTACATTGTATGGTGTTCTTACCAGTATAACAGCCCTCAGCTTTGTCAGAGCAACTGTGACTATGTTCAAGAAACCATTAAGATCAGGCAGGCCTGTTTGCTGTTCAAATTCCCTCACAGGAGGGGTGTGGGGAGGGTCATGAGACCCTCCCCTGATCTGTCATTCTCCTACATCTCCCAGATAGCCTGATTCCATGTGGTCTTGAGAACTTGGGAGGTGCTCTGTGTGCGTATAGATTGTGGGTTACCTGAAGGGGAGGGACTCCATTCATGCAGCTATAGGGAAGTCAACAACTACGTTGGGTGAGACTTTTGGGTAGTGCAGCCGTTTGGGGGTCATTCATGCTTTGTAATATACTCATGGGTTCCCCAAAGTGAATTTTGGAATGACACTTCAGTTTTTGTTTGTTTGCTTTTTGTAAAGACAGGGTCCCCCTGTAGCCTCATTTGGCCTGAAACTATGTACACCAGGCTGGCTTTGATCTCAGATTTGCCTACCTCTGCCTTCCAAGTGCTAGGATTAAAGGCCTGCACCACTACACCTGACTAGTTTGTAATTCTTGTAATTCAAGTAATCCCTGCGCTTGAAGACTAAGGCAGGAGGATCCAGGCCAGCCTGTGCTATGAGTTCCAGGCCAACAGGTTCTGGGCTCTAGAACCTGTCTCTCAAAATGGCTTGTCACCAGCCAGCAGAAAGGCAGGTTGAATTGAGAGCCTTAATCTGTCCATCCTCCTAAAGGCTGAACCCTCCCATGGGCCAAGCAAGCCCAGGACACTTGATCCAAGTAGTTTAACCTTTCACCTTTGCTTCAGATGACAGAAGATGCCTTGGTGTACAGCACCTTCCTGCTCCATGACCCTCACCCTGCAGGTGGCCTGTCCATCCTGAGGACTAACCGAGTAGAGGTTCCCATTCAGTGCCGCTACCCCAGGTCAGTGTGATGGGCTACTGGGTTGGATGTGGTCACTGCAAGTAGATCTGCATTGTCAGCAGCTCATAGCTGCCTGAATATGAATGACAGCTGCTGAAGAAAGTGACACATCGATCTGGCCCTTTGATATTTTGGGTGGGGAAAGTTCAAGGATGGCCTTGAACTCCTGATTCTCCTACCCCCCCTCCCCCAATGCTGGAATTACAGGTGTGTTCTACTAGCAGACCTGGCTTTGGGTTTTTTGGCTTTTTCTTTTTGGCACAGGCTGACCTGGAATTCATTCTCTAGCCAAACTTGGCCTTGAACTCAGTGATTTTCCTACCTTAGTCTCCCAAGTATTGGGATATAGGATGAAGGCATCATGCCTCTGTGTGTGTGTGTGACAGACTCTGTAATCTCAGCCTGGAACTTGCTGCTAGGCATGGGCAGGCTCTGGGCATCATGCACCCAGCAGGTATAAATGAATATAGCCCAGCACAAACTTAAAACATAATTTTTGTGATTTTTTTTTTAAACTTTTCAGTTCTCAAGAGTAGACTTTATAGATGACAATTTCATCACAATGTTGAAAGTTAAGACCTGGCTGATAGTACAGTCCTGTCTGGCCTTAAATTTGCAGTAATTCTCCTGCCTCAGATTATGGGCAGGAGTTGCCATGTCTGGTTCCAACTGCTTTGGGTTCTAGGCTGGGACACTGTGTTCTGTGTGTCTTTGGTATTTTGGATTTTTCTTTTTGAGACAGGGTCTCCCTGTAGCTCCACCTGGCCTGGAACTTTCTATGTAGACTGGGCTGGCCTTGATCTCTGATTGACCTGCCTCCTGAGAGCTGGGATCAAAGGCATGCGCCACCACTCCCAGCATCTTTGGTGTTTTTGAGGTAGAATCTTTCTCTGTAGACCAAGCTGATTTCAAAGTTTCAAGGATTCTCCTGCCTCTGAAGTGCTGGGATTAGGATTACAGGCCTGCACCACAATTGATATCTGACATGATGTTGATTTGCTTCATTGTTTGAGATAGGGACTCACTTTATAGACCTGACTAGCCTGGAGCTTGCTTTGTAGACCATGATCACTTTAAACTTGTGATCCTCCTGCTTCCACTTGCTCAGTGCAGGGATTAGTTATGCACTACTACTATGCATGACTTTTTTGGTGCTGGGGATAGAACACAGGGCCCTTTGCATGCTAGACAACTACATAGCCCAGGCTTAGCTTCGAACTTGGATTCACCTGCCTTGGCCTCCTGAGTGCTGGCATTAAGATGTGTCCCACCATGCCCAGCTTCCCTTCTGTTTTTTGTTTTCTAAATAGAGACCAATTCTGGTACTCTTGATTCTCCTCCATTCAGCCTCCCAAGTGCTACATGTTGTAGATGGCATGCCACCTCTGGCTTGTTTCCCACCAGGGCCTAAGTTAATAGGGGCTAGATTTCAGCTTAGGAATGAAGTTTCTACCTTCAGACCTGCCTCGGTGCTGCAGTCTTATGTCGGCATGGTTGGGGTAGCTGGCTGCTATCAGTTCAGGCCTCTGGGGACCTTGGCCTGGCTGCAGAGTTGATCCACCACTAAGAACTCTGAAATGCCTGGTATGCTGGCATATGCCTTTAATTCAAGACCTAGGAGGCAAAGGCAGGCAGATCTGAATAGGAGGCCAGCCTGGTCTACATAGCTAGTTTCAGACCAACCAGCTAGTTTAAGACCTTGTCTTAAAATAAACCAAAACTCTTCAATGGGGTAGATGCAATGGGGTAGAAATAGGTTCTCTTCCCCAACCACAAACAACAGTGGGCTGGGATGGGGTTACATGGAAGCAGCTGGAGCCTTTCTCCCAGGCAGGGCAATGTGAGCAGCCAAGCGATCCTACCCACCTGGGTGCCCTTCAGCACCACTGTGTCCTCGGAGGAGAGGCTGATTTTCTCTCTGCGTCTCATGGAGGGTAAGTCCACAAGTAGGAGGACTTGGAAGGAGGAGGCAGATGTTTCTGGAGAGTCTTTAGCCCCTGATTTTGTCCCTGCAGAGAACTGGACCACTGAAAAAACATCCCCCAGCTTTCACCTGGGAGAAGTAGCCCACCTCCAGGCAGAAGTCCACAAGGGTAGCCACCCACCACTGAAGCTGTTCGTGGACCACTGTGTGGCCACATCTACGCCAGACCAGAACTCCTGGCCTTATCATATTATTGTGGACTTCCATGGGTGAGGCCTGGCCTCCTTTCCAGGGAGCCTTCATTTATGTCTTGTTTTAAAATTTGCATATATAATAGGTTTGGTTTCATTGTAACATTTTTATACAAGTATGTGGTGTATTTAGATCATAGTCACTCCCATTTCCCCCTCTTCTCCCTGTCCCCCTCTCGCTGATCCCTTCCTCTTCCCAACTAATCTTGTAATTTTAAATTTTTACTTAGCATTGGAGAGATGGCAGTTAGAGCACTGGCTGCTCTTGCAGAGAACCTGGGTTCAGGTTTGGTTCTTAGTACCCACATGGCTCCTGACAACGGTCAGTAACTCAGGTTCCAGTTCCAACTCCGACACCCTCTCCTGGCCTCCACAGGTATTGCATGCATGTGGTGTACTTACGTACATGCAAGCAAAACACTCATACACATAAAATAGAGGTAGGGAGAAGACACCATGAAGTGTTTGTGGAGGTCAGAACAACTTACAGGAGTCAGTTTTCACCATGTGATTTCTGGGGAGTGTAATCAGGTTGTCAGGTTTGGCAATAAGTACACTTAACCTCTGAGCCATATCGCCTACCCAAAGATTTACTTATGTGTGTTTACCAGCATAAGTTAATGTACACCGTGTGAGTGCAGGGACCAGAAGAGCCAGGAGAGGCCAGAGGATCACCTGGAACTGAAAGTCATAGGCAGTTGTGAGCCACTGTGTGGATGCTGGAAACCAAGCCAGTCCTCTATAAAGAGCAGCATGTGTTCTTAACCACTGAGCCATCTTTTCATTTCCTTATTTCTAGATTTGTCTGAATGTATGCCATTGGGGCAGGGATACCCCAAGAGGCCAAAAGAGGATGTCTGACTTCCTGGAGCTGGAGTTAACAGGCATTCATTAGCCACCCAACATGAGTGCTGGGAACTGAACTCGGGTTCTCTGGAAGAGTAGGATCCAGCCGGTTCCCTTATTCTGTCTTCTACTTTCATGTCTCTGTATGACCCCATGAGTTTCATTAGTTTGCTTACAGGAACCTCGGCAAATTACCATAGCTGAAAGAATAACTGAAGAAAATAACTTACTCTCCCAGCAACCATCATTTATAGATCTCCAAGAAGGAGCAGGCCTCCTAAGCAGCTCCCTAGTTACTGCCTATCTTGGGTGTGGGGGAGGGCTCATGATCCCCTCCCCTACTTCTGGACAGAGTCTCCCTGTGTAGTCAGGATGGCTTGGAACTTTCAATCCTTCTGCCTCAATCTCCCCAGTACTAAGATTAGAAGTGTGAGCCATTCTGCCTGGCTTCCAGAGAACACTGGTAATGAGATTTACCAACAGCTAACCCCATTCTTCACTGGTTCCTTCCAAGTTGCCTTGTGGATGGTCTCTCTGAGAGCTTTTCTGCATTTCAAGCCCCAAGACCTCAACCAGAGACTCTCCAGTTCACTGTGGACGTCTTCCATTTTGCCAACAGCTCCAGAAATATGGTAACTCAATTTTCACCATGGCCTGGAATAAGATGAATCCCGGGCTGGCTTAATAGCCTCCTGCTGTTACTCAAATGCTTTCCTTAAGCGAATGACTTGGCATGTTTAGAAACAGAAAATGAAGGGCTGGAGAGATGGCTCAGCAGTTAAGAGTACCAGCTGCTCTTGCAGAGGACCTTGGTTTGATCCCCAGCACCCACATGGTGGCTGACACCTGTCCTTAACTCTAGTTCCAGGGGATCCAATGCCCTCTTCTGATCTCCAAGAACATTGCACGACACGGGCGCACTTAACATATTTGCAGGCAATACACTCATACACAAAATAAAAATATTTTTAAAAAGAAATAGAATGACCAAGTAGATGAAGCTGTGGGCTTAGTAAGACCTTTACAGGTGAGCCTAAACAGCATAAACCCTTAAGAACTAGGTAAAGTAGGGCCTGGAGGGATGCCTCAGCAGTTACGAGCACTTCCTGCTCTTTCAGAGGACCAGAGTTCAGTTCCCAGCACCTATCTCTGGCAGTTCACAACTGCCTGTAGATCCAGTTTTAGGGTGATCCAACTACTCTGGTCTCTGTGGGCACCTGTACTCGGGTGCACATAACCCACAAACACACATAATTAAAAGTTAAATTTTGGGGGGCTGGAGAAATGGCTCAGTGGTTAAGAGCACTGGCTACTCTTACAGAAGACTTAAGTTTAATTCCCAGCACTCACATGCTGGCTAACAACCAGCCATAACTGGTTCTGATGCCTTCTTCTGGCTTCTGTGGGAATTTCGTGACATGGTTACACTTACATACATGCAGGCAAAACACTGGTACACATAAAAAAGCCAGATGTGGTGGCACATACTTTTAATCCCGGCACTCAGGAGGCAGAGGCAGGTGGCTCTCAGACTGAGGCCAGCCTGATCTCCATTTGAGTTCCAGGCCAGCTGGAGCTACAGGGAGACCCTGTCTAAAACATTTAAAAAAATTTTTTTTGCCAGGCATGGTGAGCATACTTTTGGCAAGCACTGGAGAGGAAGAGATGGGTAAATCTGAGTTTGAGGCCAGCCTGGTCTACATAGCAAGTTCCAGGTCCATCCAGAATTACATAGTGAGACTTACCTTTTTTTTTTTTTTTGGTCTTTTTTGAGACAGGGTCTCCCTGTAGCCCCAGCTGTCCTGGAACTCACTATATAGACCAGGCTGGCCTTGAACTCAGATCCGCCTGCCTCTGCCTCCCGAGTGCTGGGATTAAAGGCGTGTGCCACCTCACCTGGGAAAAAAGGGAAAAAAGACATAACTCAGTGGCAGAGTGCCTAGGTTCAATCTCCAGCACCAGAAAACAATTATTTTTTCAGCTTTATATGTATGAGTGTTTTACCTGCATGTAAGTATACCATTTGATGCAATGCCCAGAGGCCAGAAGAGGGTATCAAATCCCCTGGAACTGGCATTACAATTGTTAGCCACCATGTGGGTGCTGGGGGCTGAACCCAGGTCCTCTGCAAGAGCAGCAAGTACTCTTAACTATTGAACCACCTCTAGCCTCAATTTATGTGCACATTTTTGCCTATGAAAGTCAGAGGACACCTAGTGATGGTGGTTCTACCATACAGGTCCCAGGGATCTCAGGTATTCAGGCTTGGCAGCAAGCACCTTTTACCACCTAAGTACCCCCACAATTCTGAAATTTTATTTTTTGGAGCGAGGATCTTAACTATATACCTTCTGCTGCCTGGAATTGGCTATATATACCAGGCTGGCCTCGAACCCAGGGGCTGTCCTGCCTCTGCTTCCTGAAGGCTGGGATTAAAGGCATGTGCCAACATACCTGGCTTCAGAAATATTTTTGAAAGTCATTGACGTAGCTTAAAACTCAGCCTGCTTACCTGTTTCAGATGTACATCACCTGTCACCTCAAAGTCACTCCAGCTAACCAAACCCCAGATCAACTCAACAAAGCATGCTCATTCAACAAGACTGCCAATAGGTGAGAGAACCAGACGGGTGGAAACACAAACCCGTCAAGTCTATTCCCTCAGTGTACAATCAGTAAACCTCTCCTCAATCAATAATACATCTAACCTTTTTTCCCCCCCCGCTTCAGTTGGCTGCCAGTAGAGGGCACTGCTGACATCTGTGATTGCTGTAACAAAGGTGACTGTAGTATCTTGGGTTCTTCTGGGAGTCAGACCCATGGGGTGAGCCAGTGGCCCAAGTCAGCTTCCAGAAACCGTAGGCACGGTATGTCATAGACCAGGCATTGACTATTTCCTCTCAATCTAAGACACCAGCTATCAGTCTTACTTATTCTCCATTAAGACTTGATTTAGGGGCTATTTTTCTGGGCCTGATAAGATCTTGGGGCAAAAGTAGGTCACTGAGCTCTTAATGGCTTGTGGGGTCACCATGCTGCCCTTCAATCCTCTCAATGTAACTAGGTATATGGGAAGAATGTGGTATTAGGGAGATGGGTCACTTAACCCACTCTAAGGCAGACCAGAATTTAACCTTTAGGAACTATGGTCAGCTTGAGAGCTGGGAGTGATGGCTCATACCTCTACTCCTAGCCCTAGGGAGGCTGAGGGAGAATCCCAGTTCAAGGATAGCCTGGGCTACATAGGGAAACCAAAATATAAAAAGGGTTGGGGGTGTGGTTCAGTGGTAGAACACCTTCCTGGAATCCCCCAGTGAGGGGCTGGGGGCATGGCCTAGTGTGATTCACCAGCACCAAGCATAAAACAAAACCTCATGTCTTATCCTTTCACAGTGAGAGACGAAGCTGATGTCACAGTAGGGCCACTGATCTTCCTGGGAAAGGCAAGTGACCATGTTGTGGAGGGCTGGACCTCTTCCTCCCACACGTCTGTGGCCCTGGGCTTAGGTCTAGCCACAGTGGCATTCCTGACCCTTGCTGTTATTATCCTGGGTGTCTCCAGGAAGTGTCACACTGCTTCTCACCCTGTTTCCCCTTCTCAATAAAAGAAAACCCAGCACGGGCTTGATTAATTTTGTGTATGAGTGTGTTGCCTGCATGTAAGTACACCCATGTCATGCAATGCCCACAGAGGCCAGAAGAGGGTGTTGGATTCCCCTGGAACTGCAGTTACAGATAGTTGTTAGCTGCCATATAGGTGCCGGGAACTGAACCTGGGCCTCAGCAAGAGCAACCAGTGCTCTTAAATACTGAGCTATCTCTCCAGCCTCTTATTGTTTTGGTGTTTTTGAGACAGGGTCTCCCTGTAGCCTCAGCTGGCCTGGAACTCGCTATGTAGACCAGGCTGGCATTGAACTCAGATCCACCTGCCTCTACCTCCCAAGTGCTGGGATTAAAGGTGTGTGCTACCTGGCCATGGTCAGGTCAGTTTTGAATGTAGTTTAGTGATTGCAGCTGGGGTTGGGATTAGTGAGGGTTGACTCTTACACAGTGCCATGGGCGCTAGTATGACTGGACTTCCAGTGAAGCAGCTGTCTGTCCGGATGGTAGAAGAGGCCCAGCTGGGTTTGTGTTGAGGTTGGTGGGAAGGAAACAAGTTCTGGAGAAAAACCTGCAAAAGGGTTTTCTAAAAGAATCCAAGCCAGTCATCTGTTTACATAGGGGAGAAATGGGGAGGAGAATTAAAGTTGCTATTTTGACCCACAGGTTAGTTAAGGATCACCAGGGAGTAGTGAGTTACAGAATGTCAGATAAACCTCTGTCCTGGCTAGCCATTAGGTGGTCAATGGGTGAGGAGAGCAAGAATTTAGAGAAACAAGTTACTTTAGTTGGGAAACCAAATTACTTTAGGGAAATGTTACAGTTCAACCCAGATGGTGAAGGCCTGGCTAACAATTCAGATGTATGTGTACTTTCTGGCTGAAGTAACACGGCCTTCCAGTGGTGGTGTGATGGAAGACTTGATCTGAGCACTTGATCTGGGCTTGAGGCCAGCCTGGTCTATATAGTGTGAGACCCTGTCTCGGGAAACAATGAGCTGGGCATGGTAGCACTTATCTTTAATCCCAACACTACAGAGGCAGCCTGGCCTACATAGCAAGTTTCAGGCCAGCCAGGGCTATAGGGAGATCCTGTCTCAAAACAACAGTAGCCATATAGCATGACTTCAAAGGGATCAATATCAATGTGGGAGCTGTTGGAGACAGAAAAGCAGGGGCCCACAGCCTGACTTCTAGGGTAGTAAATCTTCTAGCTGTGGCCCCACAGATCTGACTCCAGTAACATAAGGCAGGAAGGAAAGACTTTTTGCCCTCCTTAGGACAACAGGCAGAAAGCTACCTGCCAAAACCAGGTGTGGTGGGTCATGCATGCCTGCCATCCCAGCACTTGGGAGGTGGAAGCAAGATCAGGAGTTCAAGGTCATCCTTGGTTGTGTAGCAAGTTGAAGGCCAACCTCAGCTTTTTAAGACCCTATTTCAAAAAAATTGATTTCAAAAAATCCATGTGGTGGCACACGCCTTTAATCCCAGCACTTGGAAGGCAGAGGCAGGTGGCTCTGAGTTCGAGGCCAGCTGGGGCTACAGGGAGACTCTGTCTCAAAGACAAAAATAAAAAGCCAGCTATAGTGGTGCACACCTTTAGTCCCAGGACTTGAGAGGTAGAGTCTGGCGAATCTCTTGAGTTCGAGGCTGGCCTGGCCTACACAGACCAGCCATTGCTGCACAGTGAAACCCTGTCTCAAAAAAACCTGTGTAGATACAAACTCAAAGTAGTAAACTGATCCTGGCTGGGTTGCTAAACTAAGGTAGTGATTTTATGTTGACTTATCACTGAGGTGAATATGGAGAAGCATTTTGGGGGTGCACACTTGTGGACTGAGGGGTACCTTTGGTAGTAGCAGGCTTTGGGCAGGCTGACTTGCTTTGGTCTTATGTCAACTTCCTATGCCTTTATTCTAAGTGAACACTCCCATCCTCCAGTCCTGACCACAGCCCCTAAGAGTGTTTAGCAATGAAAAACTCCGGGTTGCTCAGGAAGCTGGTGGTCATTTTCCTTCTGAGGGGTTCGAAGTCTCATTCCTGGGGGCTGATTACCACCTTGCCCAGCATCTATTTTTTTGATACTAGAGATTGCACCCAGTGCCTGCACATGCTCAGCAAGGGCTCCACTGACCTACACCCCCAACTCCTGCCCCATTTTTAAAGATTTTATATGTATCAGTGTTTGCCTACATGTAAGTGCACCATATGTGAATGAAGTGCCTGTGGAGGTTAGAGGGTGTTGAACTCCTGGAACTGGAGTTGCAGATGATTGTGAACCATCATGTTCAATCTCAAGATTCTCTGTAAGAGCAAGTGTTCTTAACCACTGATCTACCTCTCCAGTTGCCCTCTTTTTGAGATAGGGTCTCATGTAGCCCAGGCAGGCTTCTCATTCCTTATATAGCTGAAGATGACTTTGAATTCCTGATCCTTCTGCCTCCATCTCCTAAGTGTTAGGATTACTGGTATGTACCACTAGGTTCATTTGCATCTTAACTTTTCTAGCAACTGAGTACCCTGCTGGGTCAAATGGAACTAGTACCTGCTGGGCAGAGTTGTTAGGTATATATAGACTCTGGGAACCAAAAGACACTTGAACACTACTCATCTTGGGTCTGGGGTCAAATGTCTTGGTTTGGGTTGAAGCTGTGTAGCACAGTTGCAGAATGCATAGCATGCACAAGACTCTGGGTGTGATTTCCCAGACTTTTTTTTTTTCCAGAGCTGAGGAATGAACCCAGTGCCTTGCACTTGCTAGACAAGTGCTCTACCACTGAGCTAAATCCCCAATCCTGTCTCAGACTTTTTTTTTTTAAGGCAAGGTCTCACTGTGTAGACCAGACTGGCCTTGAACTCAAAGTTCTGCCTCCCAAGTGTTGGTATCAAAGGTGTGTACCATGGGATGAGAGAGATGGCTCAGTGGTTAAGAGCATTTTCTGCTCTTGCAGAGGACCCACGTTTGGTTCCCAACACTTGCATGGTGGCTAACAACCCTCAATAATTCCAGTTCCAGGGGATCTGATGCCTTCTTTTGACCTCCATGGGCATGGCACCCACAGGTACATTTATATACAGGCTAAACGCTCATCCATATAAAGATTTATATATAGCTATGCACCATGATGATTGGCCAGAGTTTGAGATAGGGTCTCACATAGCCAAGGCTAGTCTTGAACTCTTGAACCTCTCACCTCTTAAGTGCTAGGATTACAGGTATGTACCAACACACAGAACAAGCTACCTATAGTATATTCAGAGCAAGACTGGCTCTGGGTCTGTTGATGGGAAGGCTTTGATACTCCAACTAAGGGCAAGTGTAGGATTTGAGAAAGTTGAATTCTGGAATGTTTTTTTGGAGTAGGGGTTTCATTACCCCAGAATAGCCTGGAACATGCTATATAACCAAGAATGACTTGGAACTGATCCTCCTCCCTCTGTCCCCTGAGTGCTGATTATAGGTATGTGCCATCATACCCAGTTTATGTGGTGCTAGGGATAGAACCAGGACTTTATGCATGCCAGGTAAGGACTCTACCAATTGAGCCACATCCCCAGCTCATTTTTAAAAGTTGTAATTTAGGCCAGGCATGGTGGCACACACCTTTAATTCCAGCACTCGGGACGGAGGCAGGCGGATCTCTGAGTTCGAGGCCAGCCTGGTCTCCATAGTGAATACAGGACAGCTGGGGCTACAGGGAGACCCTGTCTCAAAAAGACCAAAAAAAAAAAAGTAATTTATTGTGTGTACACGTGTGAGCATGAGTTTGTACGTGTGTGGTGCCTCAGCGACCCTGTGGAGGTCAGAGGGTAACTTTCGGGAGTCTGCTCTCCCCATCATGTGGGTTGTAAGAAATCAAACTTAGATCATCAAGCTTGGTGGCAGATTCCCTTGCCCACTGAACCATCGCAGGCCCAGGTTTTTGTTTCTTTTGTGGCAAATTCGCAAGTAGTCCAGGCTGAGTCTAAATTCACTATGTAGCTGACCTTGAACTTCTGTTCTTCCTGCTTCAGCGTTCCAAGTGTTGAATTACAAGGATGCACAGTTACACCAGCTGGACCTTTGTGTGTCTTTCTCTCCATCCTCCTGCCTCAGCCTCCTGAGTACTTGGATTATGGCAGGAATCCCTCAGAATAAAGAAAGGAATGCAGCATGGTCTGTGCCTGAGTGCACATACACAGGTCTGCCCATCACAACCTTGTAGTAAGGAGCATCCAGTCAGGAACTGTGTGCTCCCATATATGGGAGACAAACTGAACTGTGAAAAGGAAAGGGGTATAAAAGGCTGGATGTGGAAGACATGGCTCAGGGGTTAAAAGTACTTGCTGTTCTTGGGGCTGGAGAGATTGCTCAGTGGTTAAGAACACTGGTGGTTCTTGCAGAAGACCCAGGTTTGAATCCCAGCACCCACATGGCAGCTAACTGTCCTAACTCCAGTTCCAGAGGATCCGGCAGCCTCTTCTGTCCTCCATGGGCATTGCACGACATGGGTGCACTTACCCTACATGCAGGCAATACACGCATACACATAAAATAAAAATTTTAAAAATATTTTTTAAAAAGTACTTGCTGTTCTTCCAACCCAGGTTCAATTCCCAGCTCCCACATGGCAACTCTGTCATCCTCTTTCAGCCTTTGTGGGCACTACCTGTAAACACGCCAGCAATAAAACACATGTACAAATAAAAATAAATCCCAGCATTCAGGAGGCAGAGGCAGGCAAATCTCTGTAAGATCAAGGCCAGCCTGGTCTACCCAGCAAGTTCTAGACCAGCTAGACCTACAAGGAGACTCTGTCTCAAAAAGACTAAGAACTTTTTTTGAAAAAAGACTGGATCTTTGTTCAAGGTCTTGCTTTAGGGAATTATCTCTTAGGGACTGAGCTGGCTCATAACACAAACTGCTTCTTGCATACAAAACCGTGGAGTTCTATTCTCTGTTCAGCGCTCCACCACAGTGGGCTGATGTAGCAGGACTTTTGGAAAAAAGCTCTGGGGTTAGCCAG